AAGAAAAGAAAAAAACTTGCGAGCAGACAGAGAAGCTGAGAATCGGTTTCTTTTTTCTTTTTCATTTTCTACAATTTTCTTCTATTTCTTCTCTCTCTTAAAAGAATAAAGTTCAAGCATTGTGTAGTGGACAAAGACAGCTAAACAAAAACTTGTAACAATCCCATAGCCATATGGGATATATTTACAGATTAATCCCAGATGGTATATGGCCCGAAAAAAAACCCATATGAGATAACATTCTTTTTTCAATTTTTTTTCCGGTGCTAAAGTTCCGGTTTGAAGGAGACGGCCTGAGGGGGAAAAGAGAGAGAGAGATTATAGTGTGAAATAAGGGTTATGCATTCTTTTAATCTCAACCATTTAATTAAATTTTAACAAGTGTCAATTATCTAAGGGTGTATTGGAAATCATTGGACAATACAAGTATTGGAGGGGAGCCGAACCCCTAAATTACTAATGATAGAATATATTACATCAATATCTTGTTATTATATATCGTCTGATCCAAATTTATTTTTGAAAAGGCTTTATATATGCTCTAAATTTCAAATTATTTTCTACAATTCCTAAAATTTTATTAAATTATGTTTTAAATTCCAGATATACCATCTAAATTAATCTTATATTTTGAAACTTAATTTAGGCTAAACTTGAGGTGAAATTCATGGCTAAATTAATTATATCAAAATTTTTATGGATCCTTCTTCAATAAAGGGTCTAACGTTTACGAAAATGCATGCCAAATTTAGGACCCAACCTTTCATTTTGCTCATATCAGAGCCAAATTTTCTAATTTCGAAAGGCTCGCATAAGAGCGTGTGATTGTTAACCACTGAGAAATTGACATGTGGCACTGAAAATTAGGATTCCTTTTTTGTTAGGTCGTCGTTATTTGAGCTGAAATTTGACCGCTGAATATTGATTCGACGAAATTAAAAGATCTGACCCTAAATCGAGTATTCTTGTGCAAATTGTAGACTCTTATCTGAACATATAACCTAATTTCTTAGTTAACACAATGCTATTAATTGAGATTATTATAAATATGGCAGCAATGGTCTACATAATATTTTTGTAGATGATGATTTTGGGCATATTTTTAATATATGATTTTAATCTTATAATCAATATATATATATATATATATGTGTGTGTGTGTGTGTGTGTGTATAATAATATATACAATAACAATAACAATAACATAAGGGTTAGACTTTGGACATGTGGCAGGGTTCACGGTCTAATCCATTTGGGATGCACAGGGGAGCTGGCTTGGAGGCTCGGGCTCGGAGGCAAGTTGAGAGTACTACTTTCAACCCTTTTCTGATGAGAGTGATGTGTTCCTACCCTACTCACCCAATACAAATACTCACCTGGTACAAATACTCACCTGGTACAAACACTCACCTAGTACAAACACTCACCTGGTGCAACACTCACCTGGTGAGATACTCACCCAGTACAATACTCACCTAGTGAGGTCACCAAATACTTACACCCATAAAACAGTTACCCATGAACCCACGTTCTCCACGTTCTCAAAATAAGAACGTGGGGGCAGTTACTCACTAAAATTAAGGGTATAAATAAAACCCTTAGACAACTGAACAATGGTTAATTATTCTTCCATTATTCACAGCATAAAGAGACTTTATTCTCTAAAAAAAGCTCTCAAACCCAAAGAAACTACCAACACCGCAAACCACCATCACAAACACCGCTTGCCACCGCGCACTCATCATCAAGGAACTGCTCTGGCCTTCCTCCCTGTCACCTCCTGTGGATCCTTATCTGTTTGTGACGTTGCCTCACTTTACATCCAAGAACCCTTGTTTACATTTTGGCGACTCCGCTGGGGAGGAACGATCACAAAAGGTAAATTACGGCAGAAAGCACCGCTGAGCAGCCATGAGTGACGACGGTAATGATGCCGCGCCTCCTCGTTACTTTCTGGAGCTTATGGAGCTGATTAAGTCCAACGATCAGAAAGCGAGTGAGAGAATAGCTTTTATGGAGAAGTCTAATGCTATTATGGAGGAGCGTATAGTGTAGTTGACTCGAGCACTAAATGGAAGTAATGGTAAGAACACTGAAAATCCCATCGCTGTTAATGGGGGAGACCTGTCAGAGGCGAGCAATGGTGGACGTGGTGCTGAAGGTACTCCCAAAGAAACGCCCCCACCTCCACCACACTTTAACTCGACTCCCATACTGGTGGATAATGATACTGAGTATGTTACCAAGGAGCAACTTGAGAAGATTTTCCAGAAAAAGAATGTCGCCAGCTCTGAGTTTGACTTGAAGCTCCCATACTCTAAAAGGGTGGCAATGAAACAATACCCTAAGGACTATGTTAGTCCAAAGTTCAAGCAGTTTGATGGGAAGTCTGGGGATGCCAATGAGCATGTCATGAAGTTTGTGGAGACATTGGGAGTTGCTGGTTTGGATGATGATTTGAAATTGAATGAATTTTCTAAGTCTTTGACATGGAAGGCTTACACCTAGTATGTGGATCTCACTCCAGGGTCTGTTGAGTCTTGGAGCCACATGTGCACCCTCTTTGGGGAGAAATTCTTCTCCACACAGGAGAGAGTAACGTTGATTGACTTAGGGAGAGAACATCAAAGGCGTGGAGAGGACCTCATGGACTACATCCAGCGTTTTAGGGAGAGAGTGTTGGATATTCATGAGCAACATGATGAGAAGGAGCTGGTGAAAGTGTGTCTCCAAGGGATGTTTGATGAATACAGGGTTCACCTAGAGAATTTGAGCTTGTATACGTTTGCTGTGTTAGTAGAAGCTGCAAGAAGGACCAACAATACGGTGACGAGACAAAGGGAGGCGCAGCAGAGGTATAGAAAGAATTCCTCAACAGTGCATGCGGTTCAGTATGGAGATAGGAAGGAAGGGAAGCGCCCCAAGAGGGACTTCCAAGGTGGAGACAATCGCAGAGATGACGCACCACCTTTCCCTGTGCCTGTGGATTGAGTACGTGCTCTCCTGCAACAATGGATAGTAGATGGGCAAGTTAATCTGCCCTTTGTGCCACAAATGCCAACCGCTCAAGAAAAAGCAGATCCGAAGTACTGTGACTAATATCGCAGGGTGAATCATCCGTTTGCTGAATGCAGAAATATGAGGAGGCTCTTGGATAGGAAAGTGAGAAATGGGGAAGTTGTAGTTGACAACAGGGGAGTCAGAAACAACCCTCTACCTGTACATGGGGGTGATGTTGCTGCAGTCATACACTCAGTCCATGATGAGCCGCATACCGAAGAGGAAGATGATACGCGTGTCGCCGCTTATGTGATTGCAACCATAGCAACTTCATTGCTAAAGACTCCGAATGTTAGAAATTTCTTTGATCAACTGGGATTCTCTGAGGATACAAGAAAGGAGGCAGCTGAGGCGTTGGTTCATATAGCTGATAAGTACCATGGTGAGGGTGGTCTGGTAGACTCAAGTATGAAAAGGATGAGTCGTGCTTATAGAAATGCCATTGTATTTACTGAGGCAGATATGTGCACACCAAACCCCAATCATAACAAACCTCTCTATATGGAGAGTATTATCAATGGTGTGAAGGTGAGGAGAACTTTTGTTGACGATGGGTCAGGAGTGAATCTCATGCCTCTTTCTACGATGTATGCCCTTGAAATTGATATCAAAAGTCTACGCCACCCCATGACACTTAACTCTTTCAGTAACCAGGAAATTCGCACCTTGGGGTACACTACAGTTAATTTTAAGCTGGGTAACATTCAGGAGCAGGCTATTTTCGATTTGATAGATGCGAATGTGGCATATAACGTTTTGTTGGGAAGGAAATGGTTAAACAATCACTAGTTGATTGGTTCCAACATGTTTCAGTGCATCAAGGGGTTCTAGCAAGGCAAAGAGGTCTTCATTCCAGCTACTAAGGCTCCCTTTGAGAAATATGAGGTGAGGTATGCTGAGGCTGCTTTCTTTGATGAAGTAGCAGAGGAAGGTGAGGGAGTACTCTCTAGACCTGTGGGGCTAAGGTTATCACGTTGGGAGGAGTATGCCGAAGAGGGCAAGGCAGGTGGTGAGCCTAGCTTCAAGCGTACTAGGAGAGGAGGAAGAAGGAAGCGTGGACGTACAGAGGGAAGTGAGATGGTTAAGCAGACTAAGGGTGTGACTTCTCGCACCAGGTCTGATGGAAAAATTGTTTATTATTTATGAAGGGACGCGGGGTGTGAGGGAACTCCTCCCCTCCACCCTGGGATAGAGTCTCCTGAGGGAGACGTAACTTGTATGCAAGTAGAGACGGAAGCAGTAGTTGGAGAAGTGGCTCCTGCCCCGGAGACGTTCCAAGATAAGCCTAAGCCACAAGGGGATGAGTTAGAGGAGACAAATTTGGCCATGGAAGGGGGTACAAGCAAGCCATTGTTTATAAGCAAAAGCGTTACTGGGGAGCAAATGGATACACTTATTGCTCTACTGAAGGAGTATGAAGATGTATTTGCCTGGTCTTATGAACAAATGCCTGGTTTAAATGAGAACTTGGTTACTCATGAGCTACATATCTCCCCCAGTAGTAAACCAGTAAAGTAGCCTGAAAGGGTTTTTAGGCCTGAGATTGAACTTCAAATCAAAGAGGAGATAGATAAGTTGCTTCGTGTGGGTTTTATTAAGCCTATCCACCATCCTACTTGGCTTGCAAATGTGGTGCTAGTAAAGAAGAAGAATGGGTCAATCAGGGTGTGTGTGGACTTTAGGGACTTGAATAAAGTATGTCCTAAGGATGATTTCCCACTCCCCAACATAGATACACTTGTAGATGCTACAGCAGGTCATGAGATGTTCTCATTTATGAATGGTTTTAGTGGGTACAACCAAATCAAGATGTGCAAGGAGGATGCGGAGAAGACTGCCTTTAGAACACCCATTGGAAACTTTTATTATACTGTGATGCCGTTTGGGTTGAAGAATGCAGGTGCAACCTACCAACGAGCAATGACAGCTATATTCCATGATATGATGCATGTGTGTATTGAGGATTATGTGGATGACATAGTTGTGAAATCCAAGAGGGTGTCTGATCATTTTAGTGACTTGAGGAGGGTCTTTGAAAGGTGCAGAAAGTATAAGTTACGCATGAACCCTTTGAAATGTGCATTTGGAGTGACATCGGGGAAGTTATTAGGATTCATGGTGCACAGGAAGGGCATTGATGTTGATCCAGCAAAAGTTGCAGCTATTAGAGAGTTGGCACCCCCTGTTAATCAGAAGTAGTTGAAGAGTTTGATGGGTAAGCTGTCGTATATAAGGAGGTTCATTCCAGCCTTAGGAGATATTGTGGCTCCCTTTCAAAGCCTCCTCAAGAAAGGTGTTCCTTTTATCTGGGGTGAGCCACAGAAGAAGTCTCTCGAAAGAGTTAAGGAAGTGTTAGCTTCCCCACTCACCATAACGCCACCAATAAAAGGTCAGCCTATGATGCTTTATTTAACATCAACTAATGAGTCTATAGGTTGTCTACTTGTACAGGAAGTGGAAGGAGTGGAACGACCTGTATATTATCTGAGCAGGTGTCTCTACGGGAGTGAACGCAACTACTCACCCATAGAGAAACACTACCTCTCTTTGGTCTTTGCCATCCAGAAGCTACGGCACTACCTCCTGACTCACAAGGTGACAGTGGTGACTAAGTCAGACCCAATCAGATATATCCTTTACAGGCAAATCCTAGTTGGAAGAGCTGCAAAGTGGTTACTTTTGTTGGGGCAATTTGATTTATCTGTGGCGCAACCCAAAGCGATCAAGTCTCAAGCACTATCTGACCTATTGGCATATTTTCCTACACAAGCTGAGGAGGTGGTCACAATAGACTCCATGCCAGGAGACATTGATGGTGAGGTGTGTTGTAACCAGCCTCTAATAGGTGAATGGACCTTGTACTTTGATGGTTCAGCAACTGCTACTGAAGGGGGTGCTGGAGTTGTTTTAGTCCCACCTGAGGCAGAGCGCGCGTATGAGGAAGTGGTGTCCATGGCCTTCAAGTTGGATTTCTAATGCACTAATAATCATGCAGAGTTTGAGGCGTTGATTTTAGGGTTAAATACAGCCAAAATCATTGGAGTAACTGAGTTGTGCATCATTGGAGACTCCAACCTTGTGGTGAAGCAAACTAATGGCGAATTTGCGCTGAAGGAGCCCACACTTGCCCCTTACCGAGAGCTTACTCGTGTGATGTTAGACCACTTTCAGTCAGTTAGGTGTGAGCATACCCCAAGGTCCTCTAACAGGTACGCAGATGCTCTTGCTACTTTGGCATCGAAGATACACATACCTGGACAGAAGGAGGAGATATCATTATTAGTGCAGAGATGGTCGGTGCGTGGCCCACTTGCTAGAATGACAGAGTATTATTTGGGGGAAGTGTCAAAAGGTACAGATTGGCGTACTCCTATTATTGAGCAGCTGAGAGAGCGCAAGTCCAGCAATCTCCGTTTCCTCAAAAATTACACCATGATACAAGAGGCGCTCTACTACAGAGGGCCTAATGGGATACTAGCTAGGTGTATCTCACCTGAGGAAGCAAAGGAGAGACTACGTGCATCGCATAAGCAGTGGTGTGGCATGGTGGGACCTCCATTGTATCGTAGAATGCAGAGAGCTGGTTATTATTGGCCGACTATGAGTGGTGATTGTGCAAACGCCAGTATGCCTGCCCTAGGTTTTCAGAGCCCCCAGATGTTAATGATTGTCACTTTGTGGGTAGTGTTGGAGACTGGCGTAGACCGTACATAGAGTATTTAAAAAATGGAATGCTGCCCACTAACCATCAGGATGCAAGGAATTTGAAGAGAAAGGTGCAGAGGTTCTTCATGAAGGGGAATGAGTTATTCAGAACGTCATTTGCTGGGACTCCCCTGGAGTGTGTCTCACCTGCTGATGTTATACCTCTATTGGAAGAAACGCATTGGGGCACTAATGGAGCACATGAAGGAGGCTTGAAGTTATACAAGAAACTTATTGACCTTGGATACTACTGACCCACAATGGAGGTGGATGCCACAAGCCATGTGAGGAAGTGTCATCTATGTCAGGTTCATGGGAACGCTATACATGCCCCAGCAGTGGAACTACATAGCGTGACCACTCCATGGCCTTTTCATACTTGGGCATTTGATTTGATTGGCCCCATCAATCCGCCGGCTAAGGGGCACATATGGATTCTTGCTGCAACGGAGTGTTTTACCAAGTGGGTAAAGGCAGTGCCTTTGAAGAAAGCAACAGGACCAGCAGTAGCCAGCTTCATTAAGGAGAACGTGGTTTGTAGGTTTGGGATTCCCAGACGTATCATTTCTAATAATGGCACTCCCTTTGTGAATAAAGATGTGAGAAAGTTATTAGCTTTATACGACATTTACCATGTCAAATCCACCCGCTACTATCCACAAGGAAATGGGCAAGAAGAGGCCACCAACAAGACGTTATTGAGGGTATTGAGCAAGATGGTTCATAAGGATCCTAAGTTGTGGCCCGATGCCGGTAGCATTATTGCCGGTACTCCATTTTCGTTGGTGTATGGAACTGAGGCTGTGGTGCCATCTGAATTGCTTGTGCCTTCTGCCAGACTTGCTATCGATGCCGGGCTTACCCATGATGAGATGAGGGGAGTAGAGTTGAAAGCACTAGAGGGGAGGAGAGATAAGGCTAAGAAGAACTTCCAGGTATACCAGAGGCGCATAAGCAGGGCATATGACAAGATGCTTCACATGAGAAGTTTTGAGCCGGGTTTTCAGGTGCTTCGCGCTGCTGACCACGTGATGAGAGGTGCTCCTCCATCGCACAAGTTCAGTGAGAAATGGGAGGGTCCTTATATAGTTCATGAAGTGCACAATAGTGGTTACTACACATTGCTCAACCCTAAAAACAACAATGCTTTCATTACACCCATCAACTTCCACTACATCAAGAAATATCATGTATGAAATTCCATTAACCTCATTTCATCAGCTATCTTTTTCTTTATCCTATCTTAGAATGTCATATCAACTATCCTTCCATTGTCTATATCATTCTCAATGATTATCTTATTTCTACTTAAACTTAGTTTCACCTTCATGATCCACTGTGATCTATTCCATTGTAATATTCCAATTTCAATTTCAATGAAGTACTTCAGATGTCCTCTCAACATGAAAGCATGATTTTATATATTACTTATGTTGATATTACACAAATGATGCATTATTAGCCTTAGTAGCCTTTTAAAATTAAAAGAAGAGTCAGCTTCTTGGAGAGAGAGATGTGCACCTATGAGTGCCTCCTCCGCCAGAATGCACCTTCTTTGTACAAGTGAGGCATTAAGTATTGACGCGCAACTCTTTATATCATGTGAGTGCGCAGTCGGGAAAAAAAATAAATAAAACGCTAAAGGAGGCCCAGCAGCGCGCCAGGGGAGACTTCCCAGCTGCACGCGCCAGGGGAGACTCCCCCAGCAGCGCACCAGGGGAGACTCCCCCAGCAGCGCGTGCGCCAGGGGAGACTCCCCCAGCAACGCGCGCCAGGGGAGGCTCCTGCGCTCCAGGGGAGGCTCCCCTAGTAGCACGCGCCAAGGGAGGCTCCCCAGCAGCGAGTCAGGGGAGGTATTCCTAGGGACGCACAAAAAAAAAGAAGAAAAAAAATTGTGTGAGAGCATGGTTGAAAAAAAAAATCAATTCAACAAATGCCTCAAATACAAATAATAGCGCTGAACAAAATTCTATTCAGCATAGTACTGAAAAAGGTAGAATGTTCATTAGCAATAAAAAAAAATGTTCCATTTAGCCTAACAATATAAAAATAAAAAATAGCTAATGCCTATGGAAAGAAGCTGTCGTCCTGGCGGAAGGTATTCAGAAAATCACATAAAGATGCGTAATGTCGCTGCTTAGCCGAAGTGCTCTATTTATGTCTCTCTAGTTTAAGCAATGACGTTTTCAGCTGCTTCTCCCTTGCATCAATATCTGCCAGCTCTTTATCTACTGCTGCTAACTCAGCCTCTGGATCAAACTTCAAAGCTCCAATGGCATTCTCGAGCTGAGCCCGAGTACTCCCCATGAAATCAAGGTTGAATTTGATTTTGACCAAATCATCGTAGGTCTTGCGCATTGCTTCCAATTCCTCCACAGAAAGGTTACTAGGCGCCTTGGCTTTCAATATGAAATCACCGAGCTGATCTAAAAGACCTGCAATCACAATGTCAGACTCCAGGAAGGTCGACTCCCAAAATTTCCCCCCTTTGAGCTCAGCTTCCTTCAAAGGAGCCACATACATAGACTTCACAGGAAAGCCATGGAAGCCAGATTCGCCAGAGACCACCCCGGTAACAGAAGAAGTAGGAGGAGGGGATGCATGTGGAGTAGCAGGAGTTGCACTAGTGCCACACCCTACTCCTGGGGAGGAGGAAGTAAGGCGTACATCACTCTGCCTAGCATCAGAATCAGGAACATGGATCTCAGGTTCGGTGTTAACCTCGTCATCATCCTTTTTTAAAAAAAAAAAAAAAAAAAAAGGGTTAGCAAGGGAGTTAAAAAAAGAGTAAGTTATGAGAGCATAGTTAAAAAAAAAAACCTGATTGTTGTCATCATCTGAGGAACCACTCTCAGCATCACTCTCTTCCTCACCACTTCCGGCCTCACTCCCAGCCTCACTCCCTTCTTCATCACTACCACTTCCACAATGGCTACCATGGTCTTCATCACTACCTCCTTCCCCATTACCTTCTTCCTCCTCATCACTGCCATCATCATCAGCACTACTACCGTCAGGTTCTCCATTTTCCTCACTAATGATATTATCATTCTCTACATCTATTATGTCATCAGTGACCTCCACAATTTCACGTAGAGGCGAAACCGCAGTGGTGGAAGGTAGTATGTCTGCAGCCTCTATGGAGAGTACATCATTGTCATGAGAAGAGACATCTTTTCGAGACAAAGCAGCATTGTGAGCAGAAGCGTTCCCACCAGTGTTGATATGGTCACGTGCGGGTGCCTAAAACATAGATACATATATATAATGTGTGTGTAAAAAAATGATAAATATATATGTACATATAATAATAATGAATACATACGCATATATATGTATATATGAGCCAAGGCGCTAACCTTTTTTCTTCTGTTGTTGCTTCTTTTGTTGTTTCCCTTTGGATTTCTTCTGGGATTTCTCTTGGGTGGTCACTTTTCTGAGAGAAAGGTCATTAGTAGAGATTTCTTCAGTAACCCAGTCCTCTCGCAACAGCGGGTCGTACTTGGCATACTCATTCCACGAAGTAAAGCACTCACCATAAAAGAGCTTCCATTTATTGGAGTACACTCCTTTCCTAGTGACAGAGGGCAAGTGACGAGAAATACCCTTCATGTATGTTACGCCAAAAGAAGATAGAATTTGCAGAAACCCGTGATTAGCCTCATATTTAGAAGGCACCAGTTGGTCAAATCCAAACTGTACCGCCACTCTGGAAGGTGCATAAAGCACAGTGGTGAAGGAGAATTCTCTTGCAAACTTGTCACTTTCGATAACAGCAGGCAGCTCACGTGCAAAAGCCCAAGGACGCATGTCCACAGAAGGAGCACCACTCTGTGTAGGATATTTAGAAGGATCACCATAACCACCCAATAAGCGCACATAAGGTCTAGGCTCAAACTCTTTCCATTTATCCATCAAGGAGAGGATCGAAGTTTTAGCCTTGCAGTTATACCATGCCCAAGCCCTGAAGCGGCTATCTACAGAACTCGGAGGATACTGTTTACAAGTAGGTGCAGCCGAAGGAAATCTTTCCCATAGACACATTTGAATAAATGGGATATCCAAGTAAGCCATCACCTTATACACTCCCATAGAAGCTTTCATTTTTTCATGCAACAGATCCAAATGTGCATATAAAGAAGCTAAGTAGAGTGGCCCAAGAGGAAGCGGGAGACCCCTACTAAGACTTATGGCCAAAGGAATAAGTGCTTGGGAAATACCTTTTTCCGGGTTACCAGGGAGGACGTATCTAGCTAGCCATGTCAACAAGAAGCAGACGAGCTGGTGTCTTTGAAGGTCAAGGTCCTCACCATCATGACATTGGTCAACCCAGCTCTTGAATGAACGAAGCTTGCCACTATATCGAACAGATCTCAGAAGTATAGAATGAATTGTGTGCTCATCAAGGTCTTCACTCTCAAGAGTGTCATCAGGTGGCCCCTCAAGAGTATCTTTATCGAAGGGATTTTCCAGGCTACCACCGGAGTTGTGCAGCATGGGGAGATGCAACAGAGTACTGACATCCTCTAGTGTAAAAGTGAACTCACCCCAGGCAGTTATCATAGTATGGGAGTAGCTGCTCCACCTAGAGAGTATGGCCAACCACGCTTGATCTGATTTCATCTCAATATGAAGAAGCTTGGTAAAAGCCCTCACAACTTCATAAATGCCAGCCGATATCAGTTTGTTTCTATGCGCATCATCTCCCATGATATCAGTCACCCATTCATTCCAGTTGGGTATATCTCTAATGCCAAAAAACCTCACCTTTGATGGAGGCATAACACCCCTCTCTAGGGTGAATTTCATAACGGTGTCTGCAGGAATATGAGCAGTTTGGTCAAGGGTTTCCGGTTCATGAGAGAGACCTAGGAGAGTAGCGCCATTTGCTACCTTCGGATGGTTGAGGAACGTTCGAGTCAAGTTTTGCCACAATCTATCTCCAGGAATTTGTACAACTGGAGGAGGGTTTTATGCTTTTTATGAGCAAGCTCAGCAGCTACTTTAGGCCTGACATGTGTTTTCTTCCGCTTGGCTGACTCAAGACCCATTGTTTTCACCATTCAGATACCTGC